ACCTTTCTATGGCTTCAGTCAGAATTCTGATGTTTTGCCCAGTTTCCCTAAGTCAGGCTGATTTAAACTCCTGTTTGTACTATGGAGGATACAGCTGAAATGCTGGCTTGTGTCTTTTAACCTTTCTGTTCTTGCTTTGCCTCGCACTCCTTGGATTTTAGCCCATGCGTGTACAGTTTAGGAGTCTGCCAAGAATTCGAAAGGTTTCTGTGCAGATTTGCAAGCTTCCTTCCTCCCACCCCCATGAAGCTCTCCTTTCCTAGTTCACCCCCTACATTCACAGCCAGGCCAGCAACCCTGAACTCTGCTCTTTGACTCCAAAGGCCGGTGAGATTGCAGCTTCTGCTCAGTTTGTCTTGCCCCACGCCACTCACTGCGGGCCTTTCTGTGGCGCACACCTTCAGGGCGTGGATGTGACCTATTACATTTCCCTCCTTCCAGTGACTGAATTCCTCTGGTCTCCACACCCTTTTGGTCAATTTCTAAAAACTGCAGGCTTTTTGTTTTTAATTTGGACCAGAATTTATAATTGTTAGTAATAAATAGTTGGCTTGACATAAACAGGCCCACCAATAATCCCTTTGCTCTTTTTTACAGGCACATTTTGAAGATGCTCAGTTGTGGTTCCACACCCCCCACATTAATGTGAATTTTTAAATAAAGCAACTCACAGGATTTTTTTCTTTTGCCTCCAGTGCATACACAACTTATCTTTACACTATACTGTAGTCTACTAAATATGTAATGGAGTTATGTCTAAAAAACACAATGTACATACTTCAAAAAAAAAAACTTTTGCTCAGAAATGCTAACGATCATCTGAGTCTTAATCTTTCTACTGGTGGAGGTCTCCCTTGGTATTGTAGACTGCTGACTGATCACGGTGGTGGTTGCTGAAGGTTAGGGTTCCTGTGACACTTTCTTAAAATAAGACAACTATTTGCTTCATCATTTGAATTCCTTTCACAAGAAATTTCTCTGTAGCGCTGGGCATTATGAAGTGCCTCTCAACTTTCATAGAATTGAAGAGTTAGGGTCTTTCTGTGGATTAGGCATTGCTTAAGGAATGTCATATTTGGTTTGATCCAATCAGACCACTAAAACTTTCTCCATAGCAACAATAAGGTTTGAGCGACACTTCATAATCCCTATGGTCTAACCTTCCCTTTAAGAACTTTCATTTTGCACTCAGAAATTGGCTAACTATGGGGCCTCCCTGGTGGGGCAAGGGGCTAAAGGGTAGCACTACGAAGCCATCCACAGCCACTGCAGCCTAAAGTTGAATCCCCAGCCAGGGAGCTGAACCACATGGCACAGCAGACCTCTCCTGGCCCACCCACTGCTCCCCTCAGCAGTGTATATCAATCCATCTGCCTGTTCTGCTCCCCACTCTGTCTCTGGTGGATCCTCTCACCCTGCTGCCTCAGGCCAGTACCCCAGTTCATATATGCACAAATAAATACCTTTTTTAAAAAATCAGCTAACTGGTGCAAGAGGCCTAACTTATATGCTTTTTTCATGTTAGTTCTTTCACTTGAACACTGACAATTATTATAAGGTTATTAATTGGCCTAATTTCAATACTTTTGTGTCTCAGAGAATAGAGAGGCCTTTGGAGGAAGGGAGAGAGAGAGAGAGAATGCAGGGTCGGTAGAGCAGTCAGAACACAGCAATCAGTTAAGTTCAACATCTTATGTGAGCGCAGTTAATGGGTACCCAGGGATCTGAGGGACACCAGAGGTTCTTGACTTCAGCATGGGAAAGGAGGCTCACAGGCAGGGTCCTGAACTGACTCGAATCAATTTCGTTCATTTAGCTGAACCAAGACCCCAAATGTTTTTTTTTTTAAGATATATTTATTCATACAGAACAGGGGTATAGGCCAGAGGTGTGGGGGTAAAATGATTCACCAGAGACAGAGTAGGGAGCAGAACAAGGAGATGTACTGAAGTACACTGTGGAGGGGAGCAGCGGGCAGTACAGGAGAGGTCTGCTGCGCCATGTGGGTCAGCTCCCCCTCTGGGACGTGAACTCGTGCTACAGTGGCTGCGGATAGCTTCATAGTGCTGTGCTTTAAACCCACTGCACCACCAGGGAGGGCCCAGGACCCCAAATGTTAACCAAGACAGAGGATGTTTTAAACAAGCAGGTTTGGTCATCTTGTCCCAGAATTTGCACAGATTTTTCCCAGAGTTATTGTATTGTTGGGGGTAGGGGGGTGGGGGTGGGGGTGAAACTGCAGCCTCTAATGTTAAGTTCCTATTCTCCTCACAGTTAGTGCCACTCCAGAACAATTACAGTAATAACCTTGAAGACCATTCATGTAGATCACCACAACAAATATAATAATAATAATAATGAAAAGGCTTGAAATATTTCCAGAATTACCAAAATATGACAAAGACACCAAGTATACACACACTGTTGGAAAAATCATACCCACAGATTTGCACTGTGCACAGCTGGCTATTATGAATAGTACTGCAATTAACAGAGAAGAGCATGTGTTCTCAAGTTAGTTTTTTTCACATTCTTTGTGTAAATACCCAGCAATGGGATTACCACATTATATGGCAGGTGGTTCTATTTTTAAATTTTTGTGGGGCTCCATGCTTTTTTACCTGGTGGCTATACAAATTTACATTCCCACCAATGCACAAGTATTCCTTTTTCTCCATGTCCTGGCAAACACTATTGTTTCCTGACTTTAATAATAGCCATTCTTACAGCCTTGAGGTGAAATATCATTAGGGTTTTGATTTGCATTTCCCTGGTGATAAACCATGGAGAATCTATCTTTCCAAGTGTGTGTTACCCATCTGTATGTCTTCTTTGATGAAATACCGATATAAATGCCTACTTTTAAATTGGGTTATAAGTTTTGTTATTGTGGAGCTGTATGAGTGTTTATATATTTTGGATATTAATCCCTTGTCTTATATGTGGTTTGCAAATATCTTCTCCTGTTCAGAAGTTTGCCTTTTTGTTTTAATGTTGTTTTCTTTCCCTATTCAGAAGCTTTTTAGTTTGATGTAGTCCCATTTGTTTATATTGTCTTTTCGTGAAAAGTGTCACTATGTGCAGAAGGCATGGCATTGTATCAAAAACCCGAAAGTCTCCACCAAAACCCCATTAGCTATGACAAACAAATACAGTAAAGAAGCAGGCTACAAAGTCAATCTACAAAAGTTTCTTGCATTTCTATATATAAACAATGAACTTGCAAAGAAGAGAAATGACAACAACTGCAGCAAAAAGAATCCGTGAGGAATAAACCAAAAGATGTGAAGGACTATACATTGAAAATTATAAGTTCTATTGAAAGAAATTGAGGAAAACACAAAGAAATAAAAAGACATTCCATGCTCATGGATTGGGAGAATCAACATTGTCAAAATAGCCGTTCTACCTAAAGGTACGTACAGATTCAGCACAGTCTCCATTAAGACCCCAAAGACTTTCTTCACAGAAAAAGGACCAAAAAGTCTAAAATTTGTATGAAATAAAAAAACTTTGAATAGCCAAAACAATTCTAAGAAAAAAGAGCAAAAAAAAAGGAGGTTATCTTTTTTGCTAACCAAAGATAATTACGTGGGTAACCCCTACCCAGGGCCCCAGCTAAGGGATACAAGTCACGAGTCAGGATGTTGCTGGTCTCTCCTTAAAAAGATACTGTGCCCATGAAAAATGCCATCTTTATGAAAAAGAAGATTTTCGAAACTGTTACTTCCAAACAAATCAGTAATTTACAAAAATGTTGATTCTAAAATTCCCAGTTCCCAGCAGATAAGACTCTAACTAGGATAACACTTAACAGCCCTCTTTGTTTTCCTCAGTGGTAGACAACATCAGATAGATACATTAAGTCAGCCCCTACTCACATCTTTGTAAAAAAATCCTTGAAATGTTTCATCTTGGAAACTTTTTAAAATCCTTATTGAAAAGTGCAATATTTGGGCAGCTTTCCCAGAACCATCTGGAGGTTATTCTGGGATTTGAATCCTCAGTGCTGATTCTTTAATAACTTCAATTATTGCATGCCTAAATTTGTTTAAGTTAACATGCTCCCTGGCTTCAAATTATACTATAAAGGTATAGTAATTGAAACAGTCTGGTATTAGAATAAAAACAGCCACACAGAGTAATGGAATAGAATGGAGAGCTCAGAAATAAAACCAAACCTATGTGGACAACTAATTTATGACAAGGCACCAACAGTATACAATGGAGAAAGGAAAGTCTCTTCAATAAATAGTGCTAGGAAAACTGGACCACCACATGCCAAAAAATGAACCTAAACCACTATTTTTACTTTTTACATCATTCTCCATCATGTACATTTTTTCATCTCAGTTACAGTCCCCGTGTCCTTCCCACCACCAATTCACCCATGTGCCATCACCATAGTCCCGTGCCCTCTTCCCACCCCAATATATATATCTCTGGCTTAAAGCTGCTAAACCACTATCTTCTAGCATGTACTAAAATGTATTCAAAATGGATTAAAGACTTGAATGTTGTTTTCAATAACCAGGTATAAACGCCTACCTTTGGGCAGGCTAAGCGGAAGAGTGGGGCGAATTATGGCTCAGCTGGCAGGGCTAGAGACCCTGGGTGCCTGCAGGACAGGAATTAACATCTCCTAGCGGGTGGCGCCCGTTCCCACCCAGCCAGGTCAGTCCCAGCGGGAAAGGCTCCCGCCGCGCCACGCCCCACGCCCCAACCCCCAAAGCGGGGCCCTGGGGCTGGGCGGAGCCATGGCCGGAGGTGCTGGGCGGGGCTAGCTGCGCGTGGCGCTGCCGCTCCTGCCTTCTGGCGGCTGGCGGGCAGCCCCTCGCCGGGCGTTGGGTCCCGCCACGAACCTCTCCGCTGGCGGCCGCTCACCTCGCTGCCACCGGAGACCTCACCCGCCCTCTCTCCAAAGACTCTCCCGTGGAGCTCGGGCCCTTCGCCCCGCGTGTTTAAGCCGCACCCCGCGCCGGCGGCGGCGAGGTTGGAAGATGGCTTGGTTTTTTGACATGGACGAGGTTATCGAGTCCGGGCTGGTGCACGACTTCGACGCCAACCTCTTGGGCTTCGGTGAGGAGTTGAGCGAAGGCGCCTACAACATGAGTGATGTCCTGGCCTTGCCCATTTTCAGGGAGCAAGATCCCAGCCTCCCGCAGGAGGGTGAAACTAAACGCCCACCCTTTCAATACGTGATGGGTGCTGCAACGTCCGCCGCGGTAAAACTGCATGATGAAACGCTCACTTACTTGAACCAAGGTCAGTCTTACGAAATTCGGATGCTGGATAATCGGCAAATGGGACAGATGCCTGAAATCACTGGAAAATTGCTAAAGAGCATCGTGAGAGTCGTATTCCATGACCGACGGCTGCAATATACGGAACATCAGCAACTTGAAGGCTGGAAGTGGAATCGCCCAGGAGACAGACTTCTCCGTTTAGATATTCCACTATCAGTGGGAATAACGGACACAAAGACAACTCCAACTCAGCTGAATGCGGTTGAATTCCTGTGGAATCCTGCAAAACGCACATCTGCCTTCATCCAGGTGCACTGCATCAGCACAGAATTTACCCCGCGGAAGCACGGGGGAGAAAGGGGAGTGCCTTTCAGGATCCAGGTCGACACCTTTAAGCAGAATGAAAATGGAGACTACACAGACCATGTCCACTCAGCTAGCTGCCAAATCAAAGTTTTTAAGCCTAAAGGGGCAGACAGGCGACACAAAACTGACCGAGAGAAGATGGAGAAGAGAACTGCGAATGAAAAAGAAAAGTATCGGCCATCCTACGACACCACAGTCCTCACAGATTGTTCTCCGTGGCCTGATGTTCCCACAGCCTACGTGAGTACCAGGCTGCCTGCAGTGCCCACCCCCGTGGGCACCCAGTGTGGCTTAGCCAGTAGCCTTCCCTCCCCCAGCCAGCAGAGAGCTGGAGCTTTGCAGGCCTCTGGTGATCCCCTTCAGCCTTCAGCCTCCATCCAAGAAACACAAGAGTGGCTACTCAGAAACAGATTCTCTTCCTACACACGGCTTTTTTCCAGTTTTTCAGGTGCAGACTTACTAAAACTGACCAAAGAGGACTTAGCACAAATTTGTGGTGCAGCGGATGGCATTCGACTCTATAATTCACTGAAGTCAAAGTCCATTAAGCCCCGCTTAACCATCTATGTGTGCCAGGAGCAGCCCACCAGCATTCCAGTGCCAGGTCAGCAGCTGGCTGCAGGCGTTGGAGGTCCCCCAAGCTGTGGCACACCCTACATTTATCATGCAATCTACTTGGAAGAAATGGTCGCCTCCGAAGTCGCTCAGAAACTTGCACTGGTGTTTAATATTCCATTCCACCAAATCGGCCAGATTTACAGACAAGGTCCCACTGGCATTTTCGTTCTTGTTAGCGATCAGATGGTTCAGCACTTTGAAGACGAGAGCTGCTTTTTACTCTCTGCAGTAAGAGCTGAAAATGGCAATGATATCCACATAATTTTGAAGTGATGTCTTCCTGGTGTGAACTTTTTTCAGCACCAAATAAAGTCACATTTAAAAGTGAGTAAAGACTGAATCCAAGAAGTCTCAGGATCAGATTTTTTCTGTTGTGTACATGTTCCATGTTGAAAACGCGAACTGACCTTTCTAGTGAGCTGTCTAAGAAGCGAATCTTCTCACTGTCAGTTGCCTCAGCCAAGTATCCACTAGTGAGTCGGATCCCATCCAGACATCACTGCCTGCCTCTTAGGGCCGGTGCAGGCGGGCCTGCCTGCTTCTCTGGCAAAGGCGAGTAGATACAGTTCCCAGAAGCTGCCTTTGCTTCCTCTTTACACTGTGTGAACTTTGGAAATGAATGTAAAAATGTGCTTGGGCATTTGCCTTTTTGTGCCAGTTTGACTTATTTTTGATTTTTTGCCTGAACCTCATGCTGACCTGGGGCAGGGGACAGTGCCTTTGTGAAGCCAGCCTGGAATCCACTGCGGAGAGATGCTGTGGCCAGGTAAGACACTCAGCACCTGGTTAGAAGGAACCATGTCCAGGGGTGTGTCCCTCGTGATCATTTCAGGAGGGGCAGGAAGGCAGGCTTGAAACAGACAGCCAAGGTTTAACTCCTGATGGGCACAGAGACTTGTGTTTGTGCTTCCTCAAATTTTTCGAAAACTTTGTTTCTGCTCCCACTTTAGTATTTTTGTCTCTGATTTTCAGTTTCAAGCCCCATTGCCTTCCAAACTCATGACTTTTCTTCTCTTTTTGCCTTTCTCTGTCTCTAACCATCCTCCGCACCCCTTGTTTTTCTTAAATAATGTTGAAGCTCTAGCCCAGATATGGGAAATATGGAACATAAACCTGGGGGAGGAAGCCAGGGAGGAGGAAGGTGGTAGTTTCTAACTTAATGTTAGGGCTCTCCATTAGCAACATGTTGAAATCATTCCTGGATCACTAGACAGTATCGCACACTAAATTGTACCATAAAAAAATTCTTAACACTTCTCAAATATTGAGTACAAACATGGCTAAACATTTGGTGATAATCTAGGGTCTTTTTATACATCATATACTAGTTTCTTTTTCAGTAAGAAGAGTGCCTCTTTCACAAAACCAAATGCTTGTCAGTCTATTTTCCAAAAGGCTTCTGCGTAGTTGCATTTTTCCCTACTATCTCTCCGCCCTGCTCAATATGCATCATCAAGCATTTTGGGGACTTGTGGTATAGCAGGACCTTTTCTTTTAAAACTTCCAGTCTATTTTAATTATAGCGTCTCTGTCTGTGTTAGGTTTTGCATGTACTGTTGGATCCTTATCTTCTGGCCAAATTAGAAATGAGTAATTTTGAGTTTGAAATCTCTCCCAGAAGAGAAAATCACTTCAGTGAATGAAAATGTTGCCATTTTATGTTTTATTCATCAAGGGGGTTACTTGACTGGAAGAAGCACTGTCTCTAAATATTTTCATCTTCAGCTTGAAAATATCTGTATTGACCACAGCGACCCTTAAGGAGAAGAGCTTCCCTGTCATTTGCCCTTTGCACAAAAGACTGCATTTCCTCAACCAATCACTTGGGGGGGGGGGGATTTTATCTTTTAATTGTTTGAGACTTTTGTTTTTCTACTTAACATTCCTTGTTTTGAGTTTGAAGATTTACAAAAGCAATAAGTGCCACTTAATGCTATGTACTAGTTTGTAATACTCATCAGGTTTTACAAGGGAGGTAAAAATAATTTAATTAAATGTTCATCAAGTAGCATTGAGTATTAGTCTGTCCCCATTGACACAGGTTCAAACTAGCAAACCAGCAAATTTGCTCCTTTTTTTGAATGATAGGATATACACATTTCAGTATAATAAATGTTTCCTGTGTTTTTGCAAAAATATAAATATAAGAACAAGTTATCAGATTTTAAAAATTCTCCAGAAGATATATTTTATTTATGTTTACCTAAGAAAAAATTTGATCACAATTGTTCTGCCTACTAACACTTGACATTTCATTTTGTTAGAGAGCCTGATTATCACACACACTGAAAAATATTTTAAATGTCCAATGGAAAATGTTCTGATAACGTCCTTCCAAACAATCAGAGCACTTTTGCAGAGGTCCAAATGCTTTAAACTTTAATTGCTTAACTTGAGAAATGCCAGCTCTTCCCATGCTAGCCAGATTCTGTCGGGGACCTGTTGAAGCATAATAGCAGTGTTTTTTGAACTATTCTGTTTCTGATGATTATTCCAGCATCCCTGGACAGACAGATAGCAGTGAACCAGAAACACTGCACTTCAAACTTCATTCTCTTTCTCCTCCCCTAAAAAATGAAGAAAAGCCCCTCACTGCTGTAGTCCTTATCTAAAATGTGCTAATTTGGTCTTCTAGAGTCTTTGAGTCATACCTCTTGTCTTTTATGGTGTGTCTTTGTAGAATTTGACTTTGTGTACTATTCAGGGGCACATTTTCTTATTTTTTTATTACAAAGTTTATTTTTACATCATTTTGCACATTTTTTTTTCCATCTCGATTGTAATCCCCGCGGGTTTCCCATCACCAAATCACCTCAGGGGCACATTTTAAAGCAGATTCGGTATAAAATGATTGGGTCTTTCTGTGCACAGTATGTCACAGAGTGAAAAATTAAATGTTGGGGGTTTCAAAAATTAGAGTTGTGGAAGTTCTGAGTGAGGAATTCAGAACAATGTATTCTTTCTTTTCCAAATTTACCGGTTTTCCAAATACACAAAGTTATTTCTTGCAGCTAAACTTGCAGGTCTTTGGACTCTGTAGAGAGAATATCATAAAGATTCTTACAAATGTAAGCATTGCCTGTGCATTTGAGCTCAAAATGAATTTTCAGGGAAATTTGCCTGAAACATGCCCCAGCGCCTCCCAAAGAGAATGATGTTTTAGAGAAGCAACTAGCTCCGGACAAGTCCAGCAGGAAAATGCGATGACAGATCTGCGTAGGGTGTAGAATGTTGTTGAGTCTGGTCCAGGTACCCTGGGTGTTTAGTCAAGATCAGAAGGAAAAGTTCTTTAACAGCAATGTGGAGCCATTTAATATGTGTTTCTGCATAAAGCTGGCAGTGAGTGCATGTGAGTATACTTCTTGAAATGCATGTGAGTATACTGCAGGGGCTTTCTAGAAGAAAATTTTGCCTAGGTTCACCATCTCAACTGCCTTTGATAGTCACCTCTAGTCAGGCAACTGCTGACTCAGGAGCTCACTTCTCAGTTCCTACGCCCCATAGAAACTGTATCTCAAGAGCTTCCTTTCAGAGGATCCAGGGACATTCCAGAAGTGGGGTCAGGTGTTGGTTGGTACCCTCTATCCAGCAAAAATGCTTCTTCTGTCTCGTGTTAGGGATAAGCAAATGTAAGCCCCTCTGCTGGCCCTGGAATCAGTCTTAGGTGGGGCGAAGGTTATTGTGTAATGTTAGGGACAACCTAACTTCATTCTGGAGCCTTGGTGTCTGTGACCTGCATTCCCTGGATGTGTTAACCTGGTTATTTACAGCATTTAAGAAAAGGTCAGCCGTCCTTGGTTGGAATTTGAAGTGTGAGGGTTTCAATACTCTGTGCTACTTGAATTGGCCCTGAGGGCTTCCTTGTGCAATCCGGGTCAGAAGCGAATGGGCAGTCACCTGACCTATCAGTGTTCTGTCTCCTCCCAGGTTGAAAACTCCAGCACAAGGGCAGTTGTTTGCCTGTTATGACCCCGCACTTCTCCAGACCTCCTTGACCTGACGTGGTGACTTGCCCCTGATGTGTTCCAGCTGTGAAAGAAGAGCCCACTCATGGGCACGAGTGCCTTTGGCCTCTACCTACCAGCCTGTCTGAGTCTCTGCATTTAAGATGACGGCAACTATGTTGGGATGTGTGAACTTGACAATCCAGAAGGAAGTTTCTTCATTTTAATGGTAATTTTATATCAGCAGATATTTATATACGAAGCACTGTTCTAGGTCTATGGATAAGATAGATAGTGAACAAGACACAAACACCTCTGCTTGGAGCTTACGTTCCACTGCTGGGGACTGAGGCGATAAGCACAGGAAATCAAGCTGTTACAAGGGAGAGCGCTGCAGAGAAATAATGGAATGGGGGCATGGTGTAAAATGTTTCCAGGTAATGGTATTTTAGCCAGGTTAGGCAGAAAACGCACTCTGAGTAAGTCCTAAAGGTGAGAGAGTAAATGACTGGGGGAAAGCTGTCCAGGCAGAAAGAGCAGCTAGTTGATTTCTAGCGCAAGCACAGCATGTAGGTCGTGGCTGGCAAATGGAGACCTGTAGAAGCCACTTCCGCCTTATTCCATGGGACATACCTTTAATTATTCATTGAGTCTTTTCCCACAGTACACCATAGAGCCTGAGAATCTTCTTGAACATGGAATATAATAATTTGCACTTGCTGCCATAAAAAGTCACCACAGGCCCTCCCTGGTTGCGCAGTGGATTAAAGCACTGCACTGAGAAGCTAAAGCCACTTCCTCATGAGTTCAATCCCCGCCTGCCCTGGAGGTGACCACATGGCTTGGCAGACCTCTCCTGACCCGCCCGCTGCTCCCCTCAGCAGTGTACTTCGTTGATCTGCCTGTTCTGCTCCCCACTCTGTCTCTATTGAATCCGCTCACCCTCCGCATCTCTGGCCTGTACCCCAGTTTTGTACGAATAAATAAATAAATCTTAAAAAAAAAAAGTCACTGCAAACTTCGTCACTTAGAATAAGATATATGTATTCCTCCTAGTCTGGAAATCTAAGTAAAAGGTAGCTCAGCTGGCTCCTCTGTTGAGTTTTAGCTGAACTGTATTCCTTTCTGGAAGCTTTGGGGGTGAATTTGCACCCAATTAAAGTCAAATTGTTAGGTAAATCCAGTTCCTTGTAGTTGTGAAGTGAGGATCCTGTTCCTTAGTGTCTGCCAGCTGGAAGTCAGCTTTTGCTCCTAGAAAATGCCTTCATTTCTGCTCACATTTCTCGTGTGACCTTCCTTCGGCAGACAGTAGTTGGAAGATTCCCCTTC